CTCAGCCCCGCTATCACACACAGGCAGGGCCTCCTGGGACCTAGGGAACAGATCTGCCGGGGAGAAAGAAACAAGACGTATTCAGCGGGGAATCCCAGGCCCTGGAAATCACAGTTGTCCAGGGAGCCCACAGACTTCAACGGGGCTGAGGATCACCAGAGTTGACCTCTCTCCGAGTTGCACGGGGCCAGCAGGAAGAGGGAGCGCTGCAAGCCTGGCATGCTCATTGCTAGGATGGGCGGACGCGGCCAGTGGAGTTGGGGTCGCTTTTACCCAGCCTCTCTGCAGAGTCGACCTTTCCACTCCCCTCCCTGGGGCACAAGAGCACTCACAGATGCAGATATGTTAAGGCCAAAATGGGCCATTAGATGACCTGGTCCGATCTATTTTACACAAGCCAGAGAAAGTCATCCACTCAGGCACGTAGCAAAGCCAGGGACTCCTTGCCTGAAGCTCATCTTCCACAAAGGCATCCAGCCACTATCTGAAGACATCAGGGGACGGGGAACCCGCCCCTTCCCGCGGCAGGTGGTCCCAGCAGGTACCCACCCCCGCGCCTCGAAATCTGCACCGTGCTTCTGAGCTGAATTTGGCTGGCATTAACTACCAGCCATTAGCTCTTGTTAAATCCTTCTCCACTACATTAAAGAACCCTTTACAACCCTGTAATTTCTCTGCAGGAAAGAACTTCTACACTGCAATCAATTCACCTCCCAGTCGTCTTTTGGGAAATCTGAACAGCTTACGCTTTCTGAGTCTCTCTCTTCCAAGTATTTCCTCCGCCCCGGATTGCTCTCATCCCTCTTCCCTGCACTGTCTCCAAAATGTCCAGCGTCCCTTTTAAACCGTGGACACCAGAACTGCACGCAGGACTCCATCGTCGGCCCCCTGAGCCCCAGACCCTGCGATACCAATGCTTCTGCCAGGTCCCAGGTTAAAGCACCTGCTTTGGTAACGCCCTGTCATCTGGACCTGAAGACAAAGGCACAGAAAACAGTGAGGAGGAAGATGACCCATCCCACCTTTTGCATTAAAGGTTTTCCAAGGGACTTGGGCAGGTTGAGAACGAGATCACGTAGGTGCCTAAGCAGACTTGGGTGTTGAACGCAGGGACAGGACCTGGCCCCGATGGGTTTTTGACCCTTGCAGGCTGGGTTTCCCAACTCATGCAGGTGGCACCCAGGGGAGCCAGGCCCTCCCTATGACCAGGGTCCCTGCCCCAGAAAGCTGTTGTATGGGACCCCCGTATTACTTCATTTTTTCCAGCATTGACCTGACCCCTCAGCACTTCCACCCAACCAGCCCCTCATGCAGACTCTTCCCAGCTCCCTCTTGGCTACGAGCCACATCGGCCCTTGAGTCTCCCACCTGCTGGGATGCCGGACCTGCCTTTTACCTCCTGCTTGCCCTTCCCAGCAGGTCGTGCTGCAGCCTGTGGTCATGGCAGCCAGGCCCAGGACAGGGTAGGGTCCCTCTGGGCCCATCCCCTTTCACCAACTCCAGTGATATTTCCGATTGCACTGCCCTGGTGTTTCCTCGGACCTTGCTATTTGCCCCCTGCCCGGACTACGCTGCCAGAGGCAGGTGGGGGCTGAGCCCAGCATGGTGGTCAATGCAGGGAAGGACAACAAGGCTGCAATGCTAGCCTAGTTAGTACAAACTGCATTTGTGTTAAGAGGGGTATGTGTGTGGGAGGGGTGCAGCTGGAGAAGTGGAGAGCAGGGGTGAGATCCCAGCGCTGCGAGGATGCTTGGCCCCGACTGCTTCCATGACCTTGAAGAAATCTGTTTCCCTATCTGTGAAATGGTGATAATACAGCTGCCCCATCCGCAGAGCAAGATGGGGACCTCTTGTGCATGCATGCTGAAGTCTCCGGGGGCCCAGGGGACCCTGGACCGGGCACGAAGTGAGTGATGCTAAGAACACAAGGATTATTGTTACAACCCATCCAAAGAGTGGACATGGGGCTGCCTGCTCCCTGCAGCCCCTCTGTCTACCCCCAAAGTCTTGGATGCTTCTCCTAAACGTCCCAGTATGAAGGTCCCTCTGTTAACATTTGTTCTAAGTGGCTGGGCTAAGAAACAGCTTCTTAAACCCAGCACAGGCAGCAGGTACAGGATTTCTTGCCTGCAATCTCTTGACACTATGATGGAGCCGCAGAAACTCCCGTACCTGCTCTGCCGCTGCACCCGGGTGTCATGGGACGGTAAAGGGCCTGTTTGCAAGTCAAATGGACCGGCAAAGTTCAGTTCTCTAGACAAGCTCCCCTGCCCTGCAATCATCAGTTCACATGCAGAGACAAGGCTCATGGAAAGACTGACTGCCCCAGCAGCAGCCTGGCCTAGTCTCACTTGCAGATCCTTCACCATGAAGAATTGCTAAGATGATGACCAGTCCATGCATAATTTGGAAAGAGCCCTGACAACGTAAATTTAATACTGGAGAACATTGCAAAGAAGAGGAGGCAGGGAACAGAGCTCATTGCTCCTCACCTCCTGGCTGTCCTCAAGCACCGGGGTATATCTGGGGTTGGAGGGATCTAGAGCAACAGGGACAGAGAACAAATCCACATCTGGATCCACACGCTCCTAAAGTCCGGCACCTGGGATCTTCCCAAAGTCCCCCACCAGCAAAACTGACTACCCAGTAACAGCTCTATATCGTCTCTCTTCCTCCCGCATTTCTTCCAGGGAGACGCCCACAATGGGAAGACCAGCTCTCCCAGTCTCCTCCAGGCAAACATACTGCTCCAATTAGCACCGAGACCGGCCTTGCTCCCTTCCACCCCGGGAACAGACTGCAGCACTAGATCAAAAGCAGCCCCGAACATCTGAGGTCAGGCACGCTGGCAAGACAGAAGTGTCAGCTCCCCACCTCGTCGAGGAACAGCTCAGTCCCCTTCTCTGGCCTTTAAGGCGTCCAGACATGCTTCAGCCCACACTCAGCTTGGCTGCCAGTCCCTTTGTCCCTGCGCCCGCACTATATGTTCCACTTGCTTCACTAAGTCACCACCAAAAACCCTGATCAGTTTTTTCCTCCCTCGAAATGTTTCCAAGTCTCTCAAGGAAAACCTAAGTTATAGGGCTAGATTTAAACCCCTTTCCTCCAGCTGAAGATCCAAACCATGCTTATGAACTAGGAGACCATCAAGCGTGCTCCAGCCAGCAGCCTTATGAGCCACCATGACGCCGATGTGTTTCAAACAGCCCATGGGATTTAATCGTTGTTTCTGAGCTACTCAGCACAGGGCCAAATCTTAACCCCCGTCTTTATCTTGCGGGAGCATTTCGGAGGCCCTGTTCAAGCCTTATGGTGCGCACGGCCTGCATCAGAGACGGCCTGTGCCTTGCTGAGCTTACAATAAAAGTCTGCCGGGGTGAAAAGCAAAGGGGAGCTGCGAAGGGAGGTGAGTGAAACCCAACAACACCCTGCCCACGGGTCATACATCCCCAGGAGTGGGAGGAATGGGGGCCTTTTAAACCCTCGGTGCGTATTAAGCAAACAAAACTCCAAGCCTCTGCTCGAAAACCATTAAAAGAAATGCCCAGAGACGTGACAGGGCAAACACAATAGGGAGAGAGAACAGTTGTTACCAATTTAGTAGATAGCTTACGCTCTGGTGAACACGGCATTCAGCTCCAGTACGCAAACCCTGCCAAGGCAATTCCCCCCTTCCACCTCCGAAAGAGAGAGGAAAAAGGGCCCGCGAGCCTTTGCTTGGCAAAAAGTGACATGAGCCAGACGGCAGCGCTAGCCACAGCAACGCTTTCTGATTAAAGGAGCAGGGAGAAAGGCCGCTTCCCCTTGTGCAGCCTTAGCCAACTAAACTGCAGTCATGCCGCGCTTGCTGCTCTGCTCGCATACTCTCTCAACTCAAAGCACTGCCACCGAGATGTCCCAGAGCCCCTGCTAACAGGAGCAAAACGACTGCAAAAAGATTACAGCTTTTCTCCCAATCCACCAAAGCTGACTGGGAAAAAAACACCAAAACCCTCACCCATGCAACACGAAAACCAAAATGCCTCCAGCAAACCAGATATCTTAATCTACTCCCTATTTAACGAGATCAAAGGGGTATTTCACAGACCACTGCACACGGACACAGCTCTCAACCAGGAAGGCAGCCCGGGCACACGTGCTTTGCAGCTAGGACACAACCGCCCTGAAAACCAACTTGCATTTTGGCAACGGCGCTTTGTTATGAACAGGCAGCAAAGATCCCCCTCCTTCCCCGGCTCTCTCCGATTTCACTACCCGGGAAATCGCTGCGAAGCGCTCGTTCCTTTCTGAAGTTGCTCCATGATCACAAACAATCACCAAGCTGCAATAATCGTACCAGAAAGTTAGAGGAATCTCCCCTTTAGCCAAATATATATATATATATATAGCTGTGTTTGTTCCCATTAAACAGATTCCCACGTGCAGGAATACCAGGAGATAGCTGGGTTTTTTAAAAAAAAAAAACAATCAACTTGCTCTTAGGTTGCAGCCGACGGGCAGAACATCAGGAATAATAATGAAAAGAAAAGACGATATCAGCCCCCTACCGAGGAAAAGGCAACTTTTGTTCAACGTTGCAGGCATAAAAGCATCTAGAGCCGGCCAAGAGAATAACAGTTTATGGAGACCTTATATAGCATCCCAGAGAGACAAAACAGGAAGAGTGAATTTGAAGGCAAGAAAGCGTCTTCCGACTGCATGGGGCCAAGCCCGGCAGCCTTCGACTCAGGCGGGAGCTGGTCTTAACTCGGACACCGACCCCAATGGGAGTCTGCCCCAACATGAGGGCTTGATCCACGGTGTATTAAGTTTCTGCCAAAATTTGGGAGGGGCGGGATTCTGATCCGCTCTCCCCAGACTAACTTCACGGAAGTCAATGGAGTTGCTCCCAATGACCAAGAGCATTCATGACAGCTGAATTTGGCCCAGCGTCCAGGGAAGACAAGGTCTTCAATGACCTCTGGACTGGGCCACAACAAGAGCACCTTAGACAGACTTACCACTTGGGGCTTGGTCCTGGCACCACCGGAGCCGTGGTCCTCCTGCTGCTTCGGACATCGCAGCAGCTTGGGCTCCAAAGTCGTCGGCGTCGCTGGCGACGATCTGGGCATATCCACAGGGCTAGCAGAAGTCGAGTCCCCAGAGTTGAGGTTCAGCATGTACTGCTTGGTAACATCCTCCAAGGATGGCGCTTGGAGCACGGGGTAGGCCTTGACGGGGAGCCGGGATGGCTCTGGTGTGGTGATGTGCACATTGTGGCCGAGCGTTGCAGGCGGGTCCGGGACTGAAATGGGGATGAAGGTGGAAGGCTCGCTCGGGTGCCGGACGTGCTTGGAGGCCAGCCGGGACCTGCCGATGGCGGCAGGACCGGGGCCCGAGGACGGCGTCTGGTTGTTCTCTTGGTGGGTCACCCGGTTGTTGCGCTTTTTGGAGCTGCGCCGGAGGACCCGGGGGGACAGGACTTCCGCGAGCTTGGGGTCAAAACTGTAGCCCTGGCCGGCCTCCCCCGCAGCGCCAGCTCCCAGCTGCGCTGGTAGGACGTGTTCAGACTGAGAGCGCAGCCTCCCGGCCTCCGGGGCCAGCTCCTCCAGCTCCCTTGCCTCGTCCCGCTGCTCGGAGAGGATGGGCTCGCTGCTGGAAGGCGGGATGGTCTGGTCCAGCTCGCTGATGGGCTCGCCGGGGCCCTCGAAGCCAGCGCTGGCCAGGTCCCCACGGCGGCTGGGGTCGCTGAAAGACTTCTTCTTGATGGTCTTGCCGTTCCCCTTCTCGTCGATCACCTTGTCCATGGCGCCGGGCTGGCTCACAATGTTTTGGATGACCCGGTTGTAGTCTTTGACGCCGTCGCTGCACACGGACAGGTCGCTGGCGGCACTCCCGGTGCACTCCGACCGAGCGATGGCCGAGGCCTCTGGCATGCCGGCCTTGGCGCTGAGGGACCCCAGGAGATTGCTGTCCACGGAGAAGCTCTTGGCCTCCTCTGTGATTGAGCACCTGCGGTGCGGCATGGGGTCACTCAAGGACCTGTAGGTCTCGCCGCCGGACTCCCCGTTGCTCCCGTTGCTGGATTCGGACCCGCTGTTACCCACCGAGGGAAACTTCCTTCGGCGCCGCAGGGTGCTCGGGGTGGAAGGGGCCTCCGAGGACGCTTGCGCCATGGCTTTGCCATCAAGGGCATCGTCAACAGCGGGGCCCTCGTGATTCACTCTGGCGGCGTGCACTGGGAGAGGTCCCTCTTTGCCGCCGGCTCGGAGGGGTCTGCTTTCCGCTTGGCCAATGCCAGGCAATTTCCAAGCCGCCACCATGCGATCGAGGTCCTGGTAGGCAGCGCTGGCGGGGCCCGTTTCCGGCTCCGTCACAATGCCCTCGTCTGCCATGCTGGACTCGTGGCCCGAGAGCTCCTCCGCGGACTTCCCGCCGGCGAGGTTCCCCCCAGACTCCGCTTTCTCTCGGGCGACCGCGGCGGCGTCCCGCGCGCC